GGGGGGGGGGGGGGGGGTTGTGTGGAATAAAGTGGTGTCCCAAATCTGTAGGCCTGTGGGACCAAGACATTTAAACATTTGTTCTTCTATCAATAAAATGGGTCGCAAACAACTCCTGGATGTCCTTCTTTTCCAGATGTTCTTTTCGCCCTCTTCTGTATTTTATTTTCTCCCACTCTGATTCACATACAAGTTTCATATTTTGTTACACTCTGTATAACCAACCCCACAGTCACCCTCAAACCACAAGCTTTTAGTGGTTTGCCTGATTTATGTAACTTTTCATGTCTAAATCATAGACCGATCATTAAGGGCTTATTCGTTTTAGCCTTTATTAAAAACTTGATACTTTAACTTCGACTTGTGAATACAGCTGCAGTTTTACATGGGAATAAAGACCGACTAGAATGGAAATGTGCCCCTGAATGACAGTTTTGTCCTGAACTCCTTAATAATGTGAAACAACACATATGACAGCTGTTTTGAGTACAGTCATATAGTTAGCGGAACATCAGTTAAAGGGATAAACACATAGGCCTATTCCCTACTTTTAATGTTTACTTATGTACAGCTCTTAAAGCAGGGGTGCCCAAACTCGGTCCTGGAGGGCTGGTGTCCTGCAGAGTTTAGCTCCAACTTGCCTCAACACACCTGCCGTTAAGTTTCTAGTATGCCTAGAAAGTGCTTGATTAGCTGGTTCAGGTGTGTTTAATTGGGGTTGGAGCTAAACTCTTCAGGACACCGGCCCTCCAGGACCGAGTTTGGACACCCCTGTCTTAAAAGGTAGCAGTGAACAAAATGTTTTTTTATTCACATAATTCAATAAGTAATTCATATCCAGAAAGATGGATTTCTGTTAGCATATTTCTATTTACATAAAGCTTCGCATAGTCCTAAAACCGGACTATATCATGTAGGTGGAATGGACTGACAGATTTCGTTCAAAGCGTTCTGTAACTCCAATCCAACTCCAACCCGATCTTTCTATCTCAATGAGAGAAGCACATTGCAAGCGACCGCGGAGAGAAAGAAATCACCGACTCTTTGACTTTTCAAAACAAACTCCTGCATGCAACCTTTCGCGAGAGAAACCATGCCTACTTTTTCAAAAAGCCAGTTTTCGATATAGGATCCTTGCTCCCTACAACACTTCAGTATATTGACCTAAAATGCCCTCCTTGGTAAATTCAGTTTTACGTGTTAACGCAAACTTTCCTTGCGCGTGCTCAGATATGGCAGACTGAATGTCACCTGGAAAACTTATTGAGAAGACTCGATGGGTCTTTGTGAGACGAATTATTATCTATTTAGGTACCTTATTAAAGGTGGGCATAGCAAATAAGCAACAGTTAAAACGTGTGTAAAAATGTCTACAAATATTCCGTGTAGCTACATATTGCAGTCAGTTGTTCGTATAAGGACAACTGGGTGTGACTAAAAATATAAGCTTGTAAAATAAATAAATTAAATTAAATAGGAAAATTAAATGTACATATTGCTATTCATACTGTATAGGCTAAGTGGTTGCACCAGGTAGTCTGTCGAAGCCCCTCGGATGAGTGGTGATTAGTCTTCAGTAAATGAATAGAAAGGTGGGTCAGTAGCTGAATTGTACACGTTTCAGAATCAAGATCAGTGGTTCCCAACCCTGGTCCTGGAGGCACCCCAACACTGCACATTTTGCATGTCTCCTTTCTCTGACACACCAGTTTCAGGTCTTGGAGTCTCTACTAATGAGCTGATGACCTGAATCAGGTGTGTCAGAGAAAGGAGACATGCAAAATGTGCAGTGTTGGGGTGCCTCCAGGACCAGGGTTGGGAACCACTGAATGGCTGTTAATATTTAGCAAGCTGTATTGGAATTTTTCACCACAAGATGTCGTTCTTACACCAGTGCATGAATGGGGTCAATGGAGCAAGGATATCCAATAGACATTTTTTACATTCGGAAGTTCTTACAGAAGCACAGTGAAGAAATTGCTTGTCAGCAGGACGACATCACCTTTGTACCTAAGCTATAGCACTATAGGGTGAATATTACTTCCTTAATGTATAATATGGATATCATGTACTACAAGAATCCTAGGGTTAGGTAAGTGAACCTTTAAGGGCACTGGGTATTGCCACAATGACAAATTGCATCCCTTTTTTTCCTTTTTTAGATCAAGACAGCTCAACTCGCCTTTATTTCTACAGCGCATTATACAGTATAGATTGTGTCAATAAAACATGCTTGGTAAAAGTCAAGCCCACGCACCATTTATGCTCTTCACGGAATCATTTAAGAAATTATGGAAAATATAATATGCAGTTTTGGTGTGCCATTATATAACCTCCCCTTATATGATGATTATGTCACTCATTGGCGTAGAAATCACTACGCATGCAATTCCTACCACAACAACTGATAGTAAAGAATGTAGTTTATGCAGGTTTCAGAAAAGAGAAGAAAATAAAATCATACATAGACCTCCAAATTATTCATTAAATAAAGATCACTTAAATAGAATATAACTTTGCAGTATCTATGCAGTAATATATAGGCTATGCATATGTAGTTCATGTGCTGCGCTCTCTTAAGTCCCAGTTTGGATGCTGTAGATGTAGTGGGAGGGAAACCCGGTTCTTGGAGCGCTGCGCGCCGATGATGCAAAAGCTCACAGAGCCACAAGTAGTTGATGGTTTAACCTTAAAACAAAAGGCATACCCAATGAGCGCACTTGAGCACCTCCCCAAAATCTTCTGATTACAAGCGCTGGATGTTTACAAATGCCGCGCGCGCATAAAGGCGACAGATGAGCAGAGCCGCTTCAGTATACCGGTACAAGAAGGGCATGGAGAAGGGCAGACCGGAGGATTTCACACTTCGTGGACGCGCAAAGGCAACATTTTAGTGCAACCACATCCTGGAATATTCTTGCGTTCACATCTCGCTGTCTTTCTTATTTTGCGCTTTATAAATCAAACCGTTTTCTCGCGCACAAACATGTTTTTGTTGCTAAGGTCAGTTCTTCTTGTTAACATGTTCTATGCTCAATGGGAAATTGTGAATTCAATGCAGAGTCAGTTGTGCGTGCCCGTCAGACTGGATCATGTCAAGAACAATTTAGTCAGTACTGAAGACAACATGTTGCCGCAAACAGTTGTATTCAAAATAAGTGCATTTGAACAAGATTTTGTACTCGAATTACAGCCTGACTCCAGCTTCATTGCTCCAGCTTTCTCGACGCACACCGACGCAACTGCTCAAAATTCCGCGCACAGTGAAGATCTGAGCCGGTGTTTTTACGCCGGTGAGGTGAATTCTGATCCCTATTCCTATGCAGCGCTCAGCTTGTGCAAGGGGCTGCAGGGCGCATTCGGTTATGATGGCTGGGAATATTTCATAAAGCCGGCTTTGAACGACACCGACTGGAACGGTGTGCATGCGCATCTCATCAGCCGCAGATCTAACGCCAATCTCAGTGGAAACTCCACGTCAAGATGCGGCGTGGGCAGTGGTGTGACCCAAACCGTTGCACAGTCTTTGGCGAAGTTTAAGCACCTAAAGGAACAACACAAGACTAACGTCACTATGTCAGTTCTGAAAAACCGCTCGAAGAGATTTGTCTCCATTCCGCGTTATGTAGAGACATTAGTGGTGGCCGATGAATCCATGGCCAAATTCCACGGTGACGACCTCAAGCATTACGTGCTGACCTTAATGTCAGTGGCAGCTAAGCTTTACAAACACCCCACCATTCTTAACTCTATCAGCATCGTGGTTGTCAAGTTTATGGTGATTAACGAGGAAGAGAAAGGACCTAAGGTTTCCGGGAACGCGGCGATGACCCTGCGTAATTTCTGCACCTGGCAGAAGAAGCTGAACAAAAACAGCGACAAGCATGCGGAGTATTGGGATACGGCCATCCTATTCACAAAACAGGTAATGTGTTTCGTCAATAGGGGGCAGTATGAGAATCAACGAATCCTAGAATGATCCGGCTAATGTATCTTGTAGTAATTATATCAAGATGGCAGGCAACATGAAACAAAACTGAACACCACACATGCTGTTGCAATTTACTTACCCAATAATCAAACCAATTTAGACATGATTTATGATGACACTGTAATCACAGCTTTTAAGTCCAAAGGTGAACTGCATAAGCATAAATATGGTGTTTTGATTGTGTTGTTTGTAAAACAAAATAAAACAAAAAAGCACATGCTTTTATTCTAACCTAAAAGTTTTTATCTGAGCACTGGTACATAAAGCGTGGTTAAATTCTGAAATATGATTTGTATCTTGCAGAGTAATGGGCAGGCTGCAACAAGAGTGGCCTCTCCAGTTAACCCGCAGTTGCCACAGGCTTCCCATCATGTTTATAAGTGTTGTTAAGGTCATGGGTCAGGCCTGCCTTTGAGCTATTGCCCTGTATCGGCACTGCGAGTAGGAATGTGTGCTCTGAATCAGCAAAGATACAACTCGCGTATGCAGAATACTTAGCAGAGTGCTAAAATA